TTCCAGATCTTCTCTTTAACTGTCAGAATTAAGCGAGACACGTCCACGAACGCCTTTAACATCACATCTTCAGGCAAATCTAAAAGCATAAAGATTTTAGTTTACTATCTACTATTCAGGTTCTTTTGAGCCATCAAGTGACTCTAAACACACAGCTCTTCTCAGCTTTGAGCCAACAAATGATTCTGAGCGTACAGTTCCTCCCACATTATCTGAACAATTGTTAGTGGACATACCTACCTTTCCAACTATTACTTATAAAACCATTTTACAGCCCCATCACTGAAGAACGCGACTACTCGACTGCAATTATAATAGTCACTGCTATATTGGTCTTCTTGCTTGTGCTTCTCGTAATACTCGGCTTTACATTAAAACAGCAAAAGAACCGCAGGAAAAAGCTCCTGTTGGCTGCTGAAATGGAGAAGGAGGAGAAAGCAAAAAGAAGAAAACGGTGGTTCAGGAGGAAGGTTCTGCAGAGACGATTGTCTGCGCTAATAAATGAAATAAGAGATAATTGCAGCAAAAACAAGAGAAGAGAGAAAAGAAAGAGAGGAAAAAACGTTCGAAAAAGTTGAAGGAGAAGAGAAAGAAGAAAGCTACGAGAGAGGAGGTTTGTAGGAAAAAAAATATACCATTTTTTCACTATTTCCTCTTTAGGTGATGTTGGCACTCTCGGATTACTTGACATCGCAGTCGAAAAAGTACGAAACTCCAGTAGAAGAGCCTACACCAGCTGCATCTGAGGTGGGAGTTGTGGGGATAACTCCACACAAAGTAAGCAGCGAAGTGAATGTGGAAGTTGAGAGAGAAGTTCCATCGAAGGAAGTGATCCCAGCAAAGGATTCTGGGTCTATAGAAATGCCAAAGCAGCCAACAGTGCCTGATATCAGTGCCGAAAAGAAGACAATAGAAACTCTTCCCTTAAAATGTAGCAGCGAGAAAAAACTGGTGGACACTTCACCTTTCATATCTCCTGCAATTACACTCAGTGGAATAGCGTCAACTACGCCTTCGCAAAGCGGTGGACCCGCCATTGACAAGATGCAATCGTTACCGGGTGAGCCTAAAATAAACTCGGATGAAGGCAGATCTCGGGAGCATATGTTACCCCAGCCCGTAGAAACAA